AGAAGCTGATGTTGATGAAAATTAAATTAATTCTGCATGATGTTTTTAACAATCGCTGCCAACCCTGTCTTTAAAATTTACAAAAAGCTTGTATGGAGTTACATGCATAGGCCTTATTTATTATATTTGCAGACTCAAATACAATATTTTGTAATATTTTCACTTTAATGTTGCAATGTTAATTGTGTATATAAATTGGTATTTACATTCCTTATGCATTGTTTACAATAAACTATTTCATTAACAGTTCAAAATTTGTTTGATTTTAAATTGTTTCAGGTATAATTTTATTGTAAAATTACAATTACCAATTGATTAAAAAAATAAATACGGCATATAAATACTTAGTTCAAAATGAGTTTTGAAACTCCTTTACAAAATTTAATCAATTGACTTCATGTTTTCTGTATTTTTTTTTTCTCAATCTTATGAATTATACATTGGGTTTTAATGTCATTTAACATATGCTTTTGATATTGTAGTAAAATATGATATATTTACAGGAATCTGAGGATAAAGAAGATAACAATCCAAGTCATGTAGAAAATGGTGTAGTGGTAACGCCAAGTAATACAGAACTGGATGATAATGGAGTTGGCTTCTACAGAACGCTGCTGCCACAGGTAATTACACTATCTTTCTTTTCAAATTGGCCCAAAAAATCATTGAATTCAGATAGAACCCTGCTTTATTTTGTTACTTTTAAATTAAATGTTACCATCATACTTATATTAGTTTTTGATGACATTTGTTATGAAGAGATGTTTAGCATTTATGGCATTGCTCCATGGTTCTAATTCAATGATTTTTTTGCTTCAACGGAACTAAATATGAAAATCTTCTTAAATGATAAATATAGTGTTAAAATGCTGTTTCTGCGTGTCTTTGCTAAAGATTTTTAAAATATGTTTATTACATTATTTTTTATGATTGTTGTGACATTATGCAATATTAATCATATCTTTCCAAATAACTATAATAACTCATCATAAAGCTCGAGACACTTTAATCATAACAGTATTCATGACTGACATAATAAAACATTCCATGTTTTATGTTTTGAAATATCTAAATAATATAGTAAATTATCTTATATAACATTTTCCATGGAAAACATTGGACAATATAATTTCTCACATTATTTTCGTCGTGCCAATTTGTTTAATATTAAATACATTTAGAATTTGTAAGGAAAAAACATTTTATAATTACCTCTTTTTATTTATTATAGGGATATATAATTTTAGACACAATTTAGTTTTTTTTATATAGTCTACTTACCTGTATTTATTGCCCAAAAATTAAAACACCAATATTTTGGTATTTAAGCTAATTAACTGGAGAACTATAGAAAATTCTTGTTAGAAATTTTTTCATCTTATTTGTTTATAAAAACAATTTTTTCATTAGCTCGGGAATTTGATTTTAAATATGACTTGAAATTTGATTTAAATATTGAAAATAATTAAAACATTCAACTAAAAAAAACACACATTTTTAAATTACTCCTAAAATCGTCTTGTATAGGCCATCTAATAATGAAACGATTAAGGTATAGTTTCCGGGAATAAAACATATTTTTGTAAGGATTTGTTTGAAATCCAAACATTATTTAGCTTTTTTGCAAATTTAAATTCTTTGCATTTTGTTAGAATGTATATATAAATATAACAAAATAATTTGGTTATTATTTTATTATTTTTTATAGGTTTTGGCGAGTACAGCAAAAATATGTTACTATTCGACTTGGGTATGGCTGTGGCATTTCCTACGATAGTAATACCAGATCTTATGGGAGAAGATAGCTCTATCCGATTAAATATAGTTCAAATTTCTTGGTTTGGTAAGTACAACGTTACTAGTTAGTCTTTTTTTATTTTGAAAATTATAGACATTAAAATCAATTATACAGATTTACATATTTGATTGCATGAATAATAAGATTTGCATTTAATGAAATCCAACTAATTAAATTATCTTTAATAATGTTAAATAATACTGATCAGAGAATATAAGTGTTATATATTTACTTACATCATCATTGCAAAATTCCAGATAATACAATATTCAAATATATTTTTAATAAAATCTTAAGACTATATACTATTAAAAATACGATTACATTATTAGCAATTATTTAAATAATATAAAAATGTATAATAGACAGTACTTTTATTGCCATCAATTAAATTTGAAATAAAATTTTATCTATTTATGCCAAGACCGAAAGATTTACAAAATCTCAAACTTGAGATTCTAAAGATATAGACATAAGTAGTTATTATTTTACTATAGTATATGTTTTAATTATAAACTAAAAATTAGACATATTTAGATATATATTTTCTAACATTGCAAATTCATTGTTGTTCTATAAAAATTGTTATTAGAACTAATAGTTCTTGCATATAAAACAAACACGTTCTTCTCAAGAACCACCTCCAAAATCCTACATCTTTAGGTACAAAATTGAAGCATCAAAAACCTGTCTAAGATGTTTATTTTATCATTGAAATATAATTTTTCTTCAGGTTACATTTAAGTACATAAAAATTTATAAGTCCCAGTTATTATTATTTTGTTTTCTTTTTCTCAGGAAGTTTAGCATACATCTGCCAACCTTTGGGAAGTTTGGCATCGGGCGTTTTCCTGGAAGCTTTAGGAAGAAAACGGGCAATGTTATTAGTTACTCTGCCCCATATAGCCGCCTGGATAATCATGTTTTTTGCTGGAAATCAAGCCATGCTTTTTACTGGAGCCGTTCTTCTTGGTCTTGGAGTTGGCTTCATGGAAGCTCCTATATTGACCTATGTGGGAGAAATATGGTAACCAAAGAATAAATGATTTGTTTTTATTAACTAAAAGTATTGTGAATTGAGGAAATATTTTAAATATTTTAATAATTTTCAGTCAGCCACGGTTTCGAGGTATTTTAACAGCCATGGCAGGCGTTTCAGTACTTTTGGGCGTTTTTCTCACTTATCTTTTGGGTACCACGTGGCATTGGCGCACTGTTGGTGGAGTTTTGTCCAGTGTTCCGATCATCACATTTTTTGCCATCTGTTTTGTAAGTAGATATTCAGAAATAAAGTTAGTTGAATAAATTTGCATTACATCATACACTTATTTTTTGTAAAATCTGACTTTGATATTATTTTATTTACCTATATAATTTATTTATTTACCTATATAAATTATCTTTTGTAAAATTTGACTTTGATATCATTTTCATTACTTATATAATTTATTATTCATAACATCCATTACCTGTTAATGAATCCATGAGATAAGAAATAGGTATGTATTTACAAGATTAAAGTATAAATTTACAAAAATAAATATATAGTACATATTCAGATCAGATAAATCATACATCAATATTTATTTATTTTGATTACATATAATTTTATGCTAATTTAATTTAAGTAATGATTCATTTATGATTCTATAGATTCCTGAAACTCCTATGTGGTTACTATCGAAAGGCAGGCGAGAAGATGCTTTGAAATCACTATGCTGGTTAAGAGGTTGGGTTACTCCTGATAAAGTTGAAAAGGAGTTCCGTGAAATTGAACAATATGCCAAGACAATAAGTCAATGTACTGAATGCCGTAAAAAACGTCTGCAAGAAGCTTGTCCGCATGGAGGAGTCAAGTAAGAAATAGATCTTTTTACAATAAACACTTTAAAATATTGATTTAGATAAATATAAAGTTGGTTAATGAAATTCAAAAACATAAATATAATAAGTATAATAAAGATATGATAGGAATTCATGCTTATACCAAAAGATTAATGGATCTTTGAATTTGTGAAATGAATTAGCTTTAATTTTTGCTTGATGCTCAGGACGATCGGTCAATATCTTGATAATTTAATAATCTGAGATATTCTTATTGTAAATGCAACTTCACAATTACATAACTTCATTCTCATATGACTGCTTCATAGAAACTATTGATGGCATAATAAGACTAGTTTCTGGTAAAAAAGTAGTTCATCCAAAAGAGACCAGAATGCATTTTTATGGACAGAAACTCATAGCTTTTAGTGAGAGTGCCTGTTTCATTAAATCTAGTTAATGCTTGTAGAATTCAACAATTGTATAACTGAAATTTGGTTAGATTTACCTTATTTCTTATTTCTACATCCTCGATTTGATTATACTATAATTGCAATACAGAGTTCGTATTGTGATTGTCTTTTATTGTGTATATTTTTTGTGATTGATAAATTGCTATTTAATATCTTGCTTTAATGTGATTGTTCTAAAACCGTTGTACTATTTTATTTTATTATTAATTTAAATAATTTTTCAGAGGTTGGGCCGAAACCCGTCGCACCATGAAAGCAGCTTTGCGCCGAACAACTCTTAGGCCTGCCTTATTGGTTTTAGGATTTTTCGTGTTCCATCAATTCAATGGTTTGCATATGTTCCGGCCTTATATGGTGCAAGTCGTACGAGCCTTGGGAATACCTCTGGACGCTCATTGGGCCACGGTAAGAAAATATTTTTGATGATAAAACTTATATTATGGTTGAAAACACGGTCCAGAAATGATATGTAATAAATATTATTTATTCAAGTAAAGTACCATAAAATAATTATAACTTTCTCTTGAACATATCATTTTATAGATTAATGTTTGTGCCCTAATTGTATAATCATACTTATTATTTGGCATAGATAAGGAAATGATTTGGCTTTATGGATACAATTTTATTGCTAGAATTAGTAATGTCATTATTATTTTGTGAGTTTTCTTTACTTTTTTAGTAAATTTAACTGTTAAGTCTAATCTTAATATATTTTCCATTTTTGTGAACTTTTTCTCATTTAATCATATTCTTTTTCAGGTTGTGGTCAGCGTCGTTGGTCTTGTTGGCAACATAGCCTGCATGATACTCATCAAACTACTTGGCAAACGTAAATTGGCCATCGTGTCAATGCTTGGTTGTGCTTTATCAGCCCTGTTGATTGGAGTTTGGGCTAAAGTGGCTTTAGACCCATGGGTCAAGTCTACTGATTCCCAGTTGCCACCAGAATTAGGCGAATATGCGGAAAATGCTTGGATGCCATTGGTTTTGTTTATTGGTTTGGCATTCTTCATGAGTGTTGGAGTTTCGCCAATCCCCTGGATCATGCTGAGCGAGGTGTTTCCTTACCAGTAAGTGTTTTTTTTATTTTATAATGTAGAATCTTTTCATATGCATGCTCATTTTCATTTGCACATTCATATCATTTTATTACATTTACATTAATATAATTTCACGCTTATATTCATGTATTTTTTATATGCAATTTATAGTTTTTTTTTAAGGGGGGCGATACATGTAACAAGAAAAAAAAAAACGATTTTTTTTTTTCATAAATCGTTACAATAACATCTCAAAAATATGCCTGCAAAATTCAAATAAAATTATCACTATTTATACATTAAAAACTCATTAATTGCCACGCCTCAACTCGACGCTCGAGTGCTATTGTACTCTTATCTGTTTTCTGTGTCAAAACTTTAAACGCGTTTTTTCTCAAAACGACATTTTTGAATACTGCGGGGCGTGATAACTCAAAAAGTTCTCAACCGATTCCAATGAAATTTTGCACACATCTACTTTACAGTAATAGCTTCTAGTTAAACCTCAAACATTCCAAAAAAATTTTCAAAAATTAACCTTTTTACCAAAAAAAAACAGTGAAAAAATGGTGAAAAATCGAACTTTTTTTTCTGAGGTCTGCCAATTTACGATTTTTGTGACTTTTTAATTTTTTTTTTGGTTTAACTAGAAGATATATGTTTATGAATACGTACAAACTAATTTTTTTGAATTCAGATCACCGTACGAAAAGTGAGAACGCCCGCAGATTGATGGCGTTTTCCGAGAGGGTCTTGGCAGATCTATTTTTACGGCAGCCATTTAAAAAAAAAAAATTAAAAAAAAATGTTTTTGTGTATTTTAATATATAATAAATAACCGTAAAAAAATTCAAAAAGATTCAGTTATTCCTTCCCAGTTTAAAAAGTCCTCAAAAAATGGTAAAAATTAAGGCGATTACATGTATCGCCCCCCTTAAGAACGTCGTTCATTTCTGTATTAATATCATAATTCGTACTGGAATTATTGGGTTTGATGTTGGTATTGATGTAGATATCTGAATTCGTAGTCGTCCAGTCATTGTAATAAGTTTACTTTGAAATTTGAGATACCCAGCTGTAAGCCTGTAAATACTTGTATTTTGCACCCTAAAAGTTGTCTCAAAACCTACATATGGTAGGTACATCCTACATTATGTAGGTTTTGAGACAACTTTTAGGGTGCAAAATACAAGTAGTTACAGACTTACAGCAGGGTATCTCGAATTCCGAGATTCTTACCTAATTTAAGCTTAAATAACTGGACTAATATATTTATTCTACGTTTTTCATTTATTCCGAGAATAAACTTCATAGTATTATTACATATACGTTTTTCTAAATCAATAAATTTAATTCGTTTTGTAGTAAGAAGTGTTCATCTGTTCATACATATACGTGTAATTTTAATGACTTTAAAACCAAAATTATTTAATATTTATTTACGAAATCAGTTATATACAGAACCCTACCTAATTCATTGTCTCTTAGCTAGTAATTTCCTAAAGGAATAATCGGTAATTGGTTATTTTGGTCATTGGTCAACTTTAAGATCAACTGATATTTTTTGTTATTATTATTCGATAATTTTCGCACATATCTTTGGGCTTTAAAAATACAAAATCCCTTGATGTCAGTGATTGAAGGAATTAAACAAATTCTGAACTTCTTTTTCAATCTGTCTTGGTAGTGTTGTAGCCAAATTTTTAGTTTGTGTGGAGGTCAAGGTGGCTTTTATATTGGTCTGAATGAGTTCAAATTTTATCGCTCACTGTTTCAGTTCAGAATATATTTTGAGACATAAAAATTTCTTTTAATAAAATTATTGCACATCTTTGAATTTTTAATTTGGAAGCTGATCCCCATAGTTATGTGCCAAAAACCCAAATTGGTTAAATAATGGCTTTGTACAAATAACCTTTGTTGTCAAGTTTTGATTTCAACTGAATAATGCATTATTTCCTGAATTGCTTATCCAATTAGCCTTTGTCTTTGCTAAAGGATAATGGATGTAAAACATTTGTGATTTTTTCTATTTGACCAGAAAGTCCTTCAATGCAATACTATAAATCCGATGATTGATAATAATTTTCTTGTTTTTTGATAATGCTCTCCCAAAATATTCTCAAAGTCTTTGAGGTGAAAAGGTGCTTCATCCAAAATCTGGAAAATATGTTTTCAAAGTGTGGATTAACTTTCCAATATCCACTCTATGAATATAATACAACTGGTTATCTAGGTCGTCTGATTTCTCGTTATTTTAGAACTTCCACTGAACGAGAAAAATATTTTTCATTACAAATGACAACGGTTTGTTGTGCAAGAATATACAATTTGTATTATTGATATTAGTGTTATTATTCATGATAATAAATGAAAGTTTAACAAAAAGTCTTAATTCTGAAAAACTTGAGGCAATTGGGCCATCATTTTTAACTGTGGTTCTGGAAATATTACTTATTGTTACAAATCCAAAGCTTAATTGAACAAGAATAATAAAAATTACCTACAATAACCGCGAAAATTATCGCAGTTTAATCAAAGATATAGATTGTATTTAAAAGCTCATAACTTTCAAACTGCATGGGATAATTTTTTTCTAATTTTTTTCATGACAGTTACAAGCAATACTATCACCCCATTTCGGCTTGTCGTTTAGTTCTGGGACACCCTGTATATTTAGTGTTTGTATTTGTAATTCATGTTCATGCTCATTAAGAATTATATTAGTACTCATATTCATTCACATTGTCTTGTAAACTTTTCCATATTTACATTCATGTTCATAACATTCATCATGCTCATCAGATCATGTTCATTTTTGGTAATAACACATTCATATTCACCTTTGCAAAAATGTTTCATTCATCCACATTTGCACATGCCATTTGTATCAGTTTCTTATGGATAGAATCACCCTACCATACTCGTATATGCAAAACCTATGAAAATAATTTCCCTTCCTAAGAACCCGAGGAATGGCAAGTGGAACCACGGCAGCCCTCAACTACGTTGTTGCATTTGTGGCCACTAAGAGTTATTTGGATCTTGAGCGCCTCCTGGGCCTCCAGGGGATGTTTTATGCTTTTGCAGCAGTCTCTTTCCTCGGCATCGGATACATCTATCTGCTTCTTCCTGAAACTGAAGGCAGGACTTTGCAAGAAATCGAGGAGTATTTTGGTGGCAAAAATCGTAAACTGATGAAGTCAATAAGACCCACAAAACCAGAAACCAAAAATGGTGGAGTTGTACGTGATGGAACAGTTTTGCAAAATGGTGCTTCTGTACCAAATGGTGAAGTTATACAAAATGGCGATGCAAAACAAACCAAATTTACGTCAATTTCTGAAAATGCTGGCCATGAGAACAAAAGTTATACTCCTGATGAACAAAATGAAGAAGTTGAAAGAAATAATGCGATAAATTTATCAAATGGACAAGGTCTGAAAATGGCTGATGAAGACATTTCGAAAAGTGATATCGTTGAGAATAAACTATAGTATTATTTTTATAGAAATGATCAATTAGATAATATCAGGTAATTGCATATAGAAAAACCAGACTTGATGGAGTCTGTTTTTTAATTAATATCTTCACATAAAAAAGGCTGTTTAAAATTTACATCACATGCACATTTAATATAGTGCTTCTACTGACAACATTGATTGATTCTAAACCTGACCATAGTGCCTGCAAACTAATATAAATAGTTATTACTTCTAGGACATCTAATTTAATGGTGGTTTTGTGGCAATATAGAAATATTAATCTGCTGTGTGATATGTAACCATAGATTTAAATATTTAGATTAAGACTTTATACATACATATTTTATGTATGATATATAAAATTAAAAATGAAATATTTATATAAACTTTATACATTTTAGTAAAATAAATATGGAAAAACATGTAATGTGTTGGAGGTTATTAATAATCGAGATAAATAGCCGATTATAGTTATTAAAATCTCTAAATATTTTTGGAAGCTTATATTTAAATCTCTGAAATTAATGGAAGATTAAAAAAACTACTTTGTGGACAGATATTAAAAAATTTAAGTTTTTAGCAATATTTTATAAATGATCAGTTATAAAAAGTATAGAAAGCTGCTGAAATTATGTTCGCCTAGTATATTTAATAAGGCAAGTTGCATAAAAATTTAATTGTATCTAGTTTTATTAACTGTTTACCTTTGCTAAAAACTGATCAACACAATTTGCTACTAGATTACTGATATATCAGATAAATCAAGATTTTTGGATTTGGATTAGGATTTTCTAACAAGAAAATTTGTTAGAGACTTGGCAAAAAATATCTCTTAAAATCCATTAAATTATGGAAAAACGACTGAGTAGATTTTTCATAAGATCGGAAAATGTTAACAATAACTAAAACTAACTGTATATTTTTGCAATTTTTGAAGGGTGTACGTATCATATGTAGGTTTTGAGACAACTTTTAACCGTCAATATACAAGTATTTACAGACTTACAGCTGGGTATCTCGAATTACGAGACTGTTACCTAATTCAAGCCTAAATGACTGGACTATAGCATATAATGTAAAGGTAAAGTTATTACCATTTTCGAACCAAAAATGACTACCACTGAGTAGCATTTTAAAATCTTATATTCACTCATTTGTCACCAAAATTACTGAATGCCTCACCAGACAGGTTGTAATTATATGAAAAAAAAATACAAAATTAGTGGTGTTTATATAGAAAAATTTTGCTAATTCTAAAAAAAAGGTTGGGCTGATCGTCCCACAAAACTAGTAATGCGAAACCTGAACGAATTGCATTAAATGTCTTTAAATTTTTGAAATTTAAGCAAAATTTTTTCTAGTTTTGGTCTCAAACGATTGAGAATGACTTTAAACCGTCGAGAAGACATAAATCAGCAAATTGGATTTTCTGGCGAAAACAAACTTCTTCGGAAAGTTAAAAATAAAACGCGATATTTTTATGGAGAACTTTCATCGCAACAGCTCATCAAATTGATAAATCTGGTTTCTTGTCTAAAATAATTTTTTTTTATTAACTTTCCATAGGGTAGTTATAGTAATGGGCCGAAAATTGAAAATGAAAATTTTTGCATTTCTTCACGTTTTAAAGGTTTCTGAACTTTTTGGCATACCTCAGAAAAAATGGATGTGTGTGTGTTTTGTGTGTCCGCATTTTTTCGTTAACGTTGTCGGGCGCACGGATCAACCGATTTAAATGGTTTAAAAAACATTCGATCCCTATTGATAGGAAGATGTGCTGATTAGTTTTTGACAAAGGCAGGTCCAGCCGTTACGGAGATACGGAGCAAAGATTGCAGACAATAAAAATCGAGTTTTTGAGAGAACGGAGCATCCGATTTGAATGATTTAAAAAACTTTTTGCTTGTTTTGACAAAATAATTTAATATTCACGATATCATACACAACTAATTTAGTTTTATTCTACAATCGGTATATATTACTACATCAAGCAAAAATAATGCTGACAAGTATCAAGTAAATAGTATAATAAAGTTGATTACAAATTAGTAGATACCCCCACTGGCGAATCTCCTAGAGCTAATTAAAATATAACATTTAAAAAAAAACTAAAAACAAAAGAGAAAAAACGATAAAATATAGTAAAAAAAGTATTATATTTAATAATGCTATATTAGATCTCTAGGTATTTTTTTTAAGCCTGGTCAACAGCCCTTCCAGGTATACATGACTTGCTAATTGGTTAGGATGGACCAATGCTATCAATCAATCTATTCTGCTTCTATGGTTGTTTTTTTAATTAAAATCTGCTTCTTTTCTTCAATTCAGTTTTCTTCAATCTATGACCCCGAAGATAAATGGAAGATTTTGTGCAAAATATCGAGTGCAAGTCACAAACTTTCTTCTTGGTCGTTGTTAATATTTCGACCACCGTCGGCAATGCAAACAAGAATGCATAATAAATGCATTGTGCAAGATAACGGAGTACTATGAGTTACGTGCTGTGACAAACAAGTAAAGCAATTATATATTACTGTTATAATGTCGCTACAAGGCTATTGAATAGAAACCAGGTCTGAACTGATACATATACGAAGATAGAAAATTCTGTTGTGGCTGAGTATACATACTCACAGAATAATGTAATAATAATGATAATGGATCGACGATGTATAATATCAAGAACTGAAGAACCGCGCAATTCAGTTGCTTATTACCTTTTCATATCGAAGAGTTTTATACCGTATGTTTATTATGATTTATCTGTTTTAGAGACGAAATATCGAAGCGCGGGAAATATTGGTTAAACATTATAAATCTTGGTATGGAACCCATTAAAAATTCAATTTCGAACTTTATTATTCCATTATATTTAATATCTTATATTTTTTATCTATATTTTTTTTTCTTTTTCGAGTCTTCTATAAAATTATATTCAATCTTCTTCATAATTTATTTGAAAAAAAAATAGCAATTGTTAGTTTGTTTTCATAATTTTTGTTAATTTACTTATTCAATTTTAAAAAACCGAAACAATCCGAGACAAAAGTTCTAAACCCGGGACAAATATTACTTCTGGAAAAACCCGGGACACAAGGTGAAAATCCGGGACTCTCCCGGCAAAACCGCGACGTATGGTCACCTTATTAAAATTTGTACTAATTATTAAAATCTCTATAAAATATCTGTTAATATGATGTCTAATGATTATTTTTGACCGCCAAATGGTTTTTCTTACCTTTTTTTATTGGTTTTCCGAAACTGCCGGATCTGCCTTTTCTAAAAATTTAATGAGTTCCTCATTTTGTCAATGCAAATGAAATGTTTTTTGAATCATTCAAATCGGTGGCTCCTTTCTTTCAAAAACTGAATTGCGATTTTTTGTATATTTGTACCTGCTTTTGCAAAAATCTTGGTCAATAAGAATCGAATGTTTTTTATATCATTCAAATTAGTTGATTGATGCAAAAAATTGTATCTAACCATACACACACTTTATTCAACTTTAATTTCAATTTGAGTGTCACATAAGAACCTTTTTTGCCACAAAAATAATAATAAACTGTGATTTTTAAATCATTTAAATTTTTTTTAATTCCTTTTGCTTATACTATAAATTTCAAGTTCAAATATGTTAATCTATATAATAACATTAATTACAAACACACACTGTATACACTACTAATTTACTTAGGAAGATGTCTGGTACATCATAGTCATAGTTATTTATTCCATTTACTTACAATCCTTTGATTTCAGACTTGAGTTTCAGTTTATATTTCATCAAACGAATTGCATGCTGATTTCAAATATACCCCTTTTTTTTGTAACAGCTCCAGTTTTTGAGTTTTAGGGGACTACCCCAATCAGTCGGTTCGGCTATGATTATTGCAGTTTAACAAACAAGAACAAAGCAACTTAACAAATAAGAATTTTATCTGCTGTTTTTGGTTTTGGGGTATGGCTTCGACTCGAAGACGTTATTTATAGGGTAGTTTTTGTTACATCTATGGTTAATATGTTTTCGACAAATTACTTAAAAACCATCATAAAATCTCAAGGAAAAAATTAGTGTCGCGCAGTGTTATTGATTGATCAATTATCTTCATATCAGGAAGTTTATGCAACTTGCCTGAAGACAAAATGCCACTTAAACCAAGTTTATCTTATTTACTTTACAATGTGGGAAGCACTTGAATAGATGTAGTTGTCTACATTTAATCATCTCTCATCCATTAATCACGTGATCGATTTTTTAAGGATTTTTGGACCCTCCGTTTCCCTTGGTGATATTCCAAATTACCCCCTCCCCCAACGAACATCACATGTATTTTTAGTCAAGAGAAAATATTGTAACATTTTAGATTTTTTTTGAAAATGTTTTGATTTTTTTTTTAAATTCAGGTAAAAAATAAATACACGTGATATCTTATTTTACCCCTCCCACCCCCAGGTAATATTTTGTGATTTTTTGTCAAACCCCCCCCCCCCTACCCACCGCTAAAAATCTCATGTGATTAATGGACGCCCCCTTATTTAGTCTAAAATGTGGGAAGCACTTGAATGGATGTAGTTGTATATATTTAATCCTCTCTCATGAATCGTTTTCAATATGAAGTATTCAACAAACTTTCGATGTTGAAATTTCTCGAAATCTTCTATACAACTCCTTACTTCCGCTCACGAAACGGAAACCGGAAACCATCTGTTGATCATAACGAAGACATCCGATGTCTGACCTACTGAAACGAAAACAGTCGAACGTATTACGCCATCGATGGTGCGATGGAGGGAGAGTTTTGACAACAAAACATTCCGTATGATTCAGTCGCTCCGTAAATTCCGAGTGAGTCGGTCGTGTCGAGGAACTAGAAATAATATCGGGAATTAATTTTTTGAATAGAAATTTTATGTGAGATTTATATAAGCCGGTGAAAATTTTCGACGAGTTTTGTATTAGTGTGATTTTTTAGTGATCTGTCAAAAAGTGAGTTTTATTAATTAGTTTGTGTATAAATTATTTATTTTGTTAACGCACGTGGGAAGGTTTTATATAATTGGATATACAGCTGGTCTGATTGGTGCCGCAAATAAAAGGTTAGAATTTTTCTTCATTA